CCGAGCCGCAGAAGACCGGCGCTGCGTCGGCGTCGTCGCTCCCCACGCAGTAACAGGACCGGCCCTGCGCGTCCGTGAACCTGTCCCCGTCCTGGTAGTACTGGCCGTTATGCACGCAGCCTGGAAGGGTAAAGTCAAAGGTATTAAAAGAAAGGTAACATTTGAAACCACTATAATAACTAGAAAGGTAACATTTGGAAAGCAAATGCACAATGTTTACATTCGCATATGGTCTGCTCTGTTAATTCTTACTCAAACATATATATGGTCAGACAGGAGTCTACATCCCTCCTGCTATAAAATTGCAACATGATGTAACCCAACCTTATAGTTACCATGGTGACTATAGGGTTGGTCATTGACTTAATTTGTTTGGAAAAGAAGAGGAAGAAGGAGAAGAAACTGAACAAAAACAACATGTTTTCCTTTTGTTGACGGTAAACATAAAAATGTACAAACACACTCTTCAAAATGGGTTTATATCTATGTCTTTATTACTCATACCAAGTTTACAAACGTTCAACTGTATTTGGTTTTGCAAGATACATTTTCTCAGCATGGCTTCTTAAAAAACAGAAAGCACTCTGGTGACAGTGACAGAAGAAAACACATTAGGAGGTGACAGACGGTCACCGAAACGTCGGCTGAATAAGACACTTAGTTGTGTAAAAAGAGTCTCTCTACTCTATTTCCTACCAAGTTTACAAGAGTTCAACTGTATTTGGTTTTGCAGCATACTTTTATTTCTTCTCAGTATGGCTCAATCTAAAAACAGAAAGCACTTTTGGTGACAGTGACAGAAGAAAACACATTAGGAGATATGATGAACACCCCTGGATCATAAAATGAATGGTACGCCCCCAGTCAGCAATCGGTTTCCCATGTACGTTACGACCTGTGCAGCATGAGGAATGCCTGTCGCTTTCTGTCACCTCATCTCATACCAAACACCACAAGCGAAATTGCAATACCAGCTCTAGCGGGGTGTGGGAAATCCATTCATTCGTCAACGGCAGAGTGCTGAAGAGAAGTGGGTTCAGTTATAAATCTAGTGGCGGTGTTGAGAGGAAGAAATACTTACCCTGCTGCTGAACTTTCTAGATACGCAAGCCTGTAGCCAGGATTTTGCTTGCATTTTGGAATTTGCTTGGATTTTGGTTTGCGCTTGGTTCTTCCCACTGTCTGGGGAACCAGCGAGCGGCGAAGGCAGAGATAAACATGCCAGTGGAAGCAGGGGGTCAAATTTGAACCTTCTGAATTTCAGAATGACATTTATTTGCTGTGTTTTTGAGAGGATTTCAAAGGAAAAATCAGAGATAACGTTTTATTCAATGACAAAGTGAGCAGTTTTCTAGGATTCCAACCCCGCTGATGATACAAATCAGTCCACTTTTCTTACTCATTATTAACATATAGAGGATGAGGAACACTTTGTATTACAATGTAGTTTATACAACGAAGAGAGAACAGAGCTTTATAAACTATTGCAATGTATGTTTCCCCATTTCATACATCTTAGCAACAAAGACAAGTTCATATTTCTAATGGCTTTAGACAAACCTTCGATTATAAAACACATCTGTGCTTATATCTACATCGTTACTAAGAAGCGAGAAGAAGCCAAATTATCGTAATGGCTTTAGACAAACCTTCGATTATAAAACACATCTGTACTTATATCTACATCATTACTAAGAAGCGAGAAGAAGCCAAATTATCGTAATTATTAGACTACATGTCCATAGTACATAGAATTAGCGCTAGCTTGTACATTGTATATATTCATTGCAATCTGTGACGTCTTTCCTGTGACCTGTACTGAACCCAGTGGGTATTTTGCGTACAATAAACACATATATATGAGCAACTGGAAACCGCTTGGACATGGCAAAGACTCATATAGAGAGTGGTGGATGTCACTCGAAACGTCCGGAAATTATCTCCGTAACTTATCCAGTAGTAGAGTTTGAATTTCCTATGGGTATTGTTTACCTGGATGTCTGACTTCATCAACCAAACGTTTTATACTTACACCCGAAGCCGAAGTTATCCCAGTGTATAACGGTGCCGTCCTGGTCGCAGTACGCCCCGTGTCCCTCACACCCCGGGATGTCCATAATGGTTTCGCCCACGGCGTACGACCTCCCCTCGTACTCGCACCCTAGAGGGAAGGGGGTGGGGGTGGGGGCCACCGCCCGGGGGATCTGGGGGGCTGAAGTTCTGCCCACCACCCCCGGGGGGAGGGTCGGGGAGTTGCAGCGCGGGGGGACGGGCTCGCTGAAGTCTTCCACCTCGCAGTGGCACTGCGTCCCGTCCGGCGTGGTGAAGGTCTCCCCGTCCTCGTAGAAATCCTCGTCGTACACACAACCTAGCACGAAAACAAGCAAAACTAGAAAGGTAACATTTACAAAGCAAATGCATAATGTTTATCTTCGCAAATGGTCTGCTCTGTTAATTCTTACTCAAACACATTCATATACATTTGTACATGGTGACAGGAGTATAAATCCCTCCTGCTATAAAATTGCAACATGATGTAACCAAACACTAGTTACTATGGTGACAGACGTCTGGTTCAGGTCATTGACCTTTTTGGTTTGGAAAAGAAGAAGAAACTGAGCAAAAACAAGATGTATTCCTTCGGTAAACACAATAATGTATGTAGCCTCTGCAGGGCTTCGGAAGCGACCGAAAGGAGTAGATATTGGCCAAATAAATAGATAACATGTCAGTATTTGCCACCTCCTTTACCGGACTCCCATGGCACTTTATCTGTCTATTTGGCCAATTTCTACTCCTTCCAGCCGCTTCTGAAGCCTAGAGGCTAACAAATATATACAACAATGCAGGATGACTATAACATGTATAACACTGTCATCACACCAGCAGTTTGACAAAGATATGGGCTTGGAATACGGACGAAGCGGCTAGGGTCTGAGAAATAGAGGATAGTTTTTTTAAAGTACCAGTTGCCGCTAGAGGCTAACAAATATATATACAACAGTGGAGAATGGCTAGTACAAAATGTACATGTATAACACATTTTGAGAAAGATATTGACTAGATAAGTCTAGCTATAGGATCTGAGAAATTGGGGATAGCTTTTTTAAGTACCAATTGCCGGCCGCGTTCAAAATGACCGTGATCCCACCCCAAAGTCTTCTTTTATGAAAGATATTGGCCTTGGAGCTACACATGTAGTACGGACGAAGCGGCTGTTAAAGATCTGAGAAACAGGGAATAGTTTTTTTTAAGTGCCAGTTGCCGAGCGCGTTCAGACATGACCGTGATCTCACCCCAACCGTCGCCGGCTGGACTTTGAGTTTACAAAATGCCCTCTGCTGGAGTGATTCTGAGGCAGCTGCTGGCCAGATAAAATAACCAAACGACTGGGAAGGTCGCCTCGGCTAATACATCAATAGCGCGACGATTTTACGGGCCTTCGGGCTATTTGGCTAATGCCTGTCTCCCGATACTTGCTTATGGACTATGTTATTTAAACTTGAGCTGGGGACGATCAGGGAAATGGAAAAGGCCTTACGCGGGAGTTACGATTTATGTGCGGGCTCGGGCGCCGCCATCAGTCAATTTTTGTCCCCGGCGAAAAGCCATCTCTCAGCCTTGAACTTCCACGCCTCAAAATCGCGCTGCAGTTTGATATGGTGTGAGGGGAATAACTCAACTTTGACAGACACATTCGTTTCATCAGGTTGGTAAAAGTCACAGTGTAAAGAGACTATGTTTATACAACCAAGTGCTTTATTCACAGCAGACGTTTTCGTGACACCTGAGCTGCAGTGCAATGTGAACCAGTCAGAATTGCCCCGAGGAAGGTGACAGACGGTCACCGAAACGTCGGCTGTGAATAAAACACTTGGTTGATATTAGAATTTACGTTTTTATCTGTTCTGGACATTCCATGTTCATGAGATGTTTTTTTCATGGCAGATGACTCCTGGGATTGGGAAGAAGTGGTGTAGGTTTTGCTCCCCTAGCAGCTATGGTATGGAACTGCAGAGGCGTTTTGTGAAAGCATAACTCCAAAAGGAAAATGGATTGGCATGTAGGTAGCTAAGGCATAGATGTACATAATTAGATGAAACTACAAAAACCCTCCTGCAGTTCCAGAACACAGCTGCTAGGGGGCCGAACCCTACACCACTTATTATAACTTCTTGGTATAAAATGCAAGTAAATCTTACATCCGTATCCCTGGGAGTTAGGGTGAAAACTTGAATTGCCGCTGGACTGTTCATGCGTTTGTCTGCGCTGGGGGCAAGTTGAAAAACTTGAATGTGTCGTCGCCATGTGTTGTAATAAATGTTAGAATAGAAAAAAAGTGCGAGTAAATCTTACATCCGTATCCCTCGTTGTCCCAGTGCACCACGCCCCCTCCCTCCGTGTCGCAGTAACAAAAACGCTCCTGCAGTTCCATAACACAGCTGCTAGGGGGCCGAAACCTACACCACTAATTATAACTTCTATAACTATTATATTTATAAACAAACAAACAAAACAAGCAAGTAAATCTTACATCCGTATCCCTCGTTGTCCCAGTGCACCACGCCCCCTCCCTCCGTGTCGCAGTACGCGCCGTACCCGTCGCACCCGTGCACGTCATAGATGGTCTCCCCAGGCTCGTAGTGCGTCCCGTCGTAGTCGCACCCGGAAACAGCCGAGGGGCTCCGAGGCCTCTCCGTGCGGGGTTCGGCTGTCGTCGTGTCGCAGATCGGAGGGACAGGCTCGCCCGACTCGCTGGCCCGGCAGTGACACGTGTTCCCGTGTTCGTCTTCAAACGTGGAGCCGTCCTCGTAATACTCTTCATTATACAAACAACCTGGAGGGAAGGTACATTGATGAAGGTTAGGCATCCATGTAAACAATATTAAACACTAGAAAGGTAACATTTGCAAAGCAAATGCATAATGTTTACCTTCGCATATGGTCTGCTCTGTTAATTCTTACTCAAACACATTCATATATGGTCAGACAGGAGTCTAAATCCCTCCTGCTATAAAATTGCAACACTATGTAACCTGACACCAGTTACCATGGTGACAGACGTCTGGTTAAGGTCATTGACCTTATTTGTTTAGAGAAGAAGAAAAGGAAACAGAGCAAAAACGAAGGTAAACATAACAAGAGTTCCACGATCTCATACCTTCGCCAAATGATGTTAACCCGTGCGGTTGAAGAATTATACAATTTTAATAATTGATTTTGCAAATAAGATCCTCATTTGCATGGGTTATATCAGTTGATCATATTCTCCACCCAATGACAGTCTTATCTTAACAAAAAGGCTATTATAGCACTTCCTCATTAATTATTCAAATGAGGTCATGATTTGAATAAATTATGGTTGTTGATGTTCGCCTTCACTTAACTTCCAAATGTGGCAAGTATGAAATTCCCAGCAATTACAACTATGAAATTACAAAAAAATACCATTAATTATGCAAATTAGGTCGTCATTTACATAATCTATATCCTCAGATTTTTTTCATTCTCAATTACATGTCACAAGTGTTTCATAGTCCTATTATCGAACAATGCAGAGTTTTAGAATTTCCTCATTAATTATGCAAATTAGCTCCTGATTTGCGTAATTATCATTTGATTATGTCAAGCTTCACTTCAGCTACCTACATACCAAAAATCACGACAATCCGTCAACTGGTTCCTTAGTTATCATCCTTCGAAAATTTTTCAACAAATGCTCCTGCAGTTTCAGAACAAGCCGCTAGGGGGCCCAAACTCATGTCACTTCTTCCCTACCCCAAGAGCTATCTACCAACCAAAATTCGTGACCCGAGCATGTACAGATCGCGAGATATCAAAACCGGAAGTTGTGCTGCAGTACCAACAGAAGCCGCCGGGGGGCCCAAAATCTAATCATTTCTAGGTCTCATCAAGACCTACCCACCTACCAAATTTCATGACAATGCATACTAAGCTTCTTGACTTATGCTGTTCACAGACAGACAGACGGACAAACGCTACTGAAAACATAACCTTCTTGGCGAAGGTAAAAATCAAACTCTACTACTGGATAAATAACGGAGGTAACTTCTGGACGTTCTGGACCTTTTTTCCAGTTCCTTCACATGTGGTTGTATGATCTCCGTTATTTATCCAGGAGTAGAGTTTCATTTTTTTACACCTGGGGGGGAGAAAGGAAAAATAACAAGTCCGGCCTGTCATCGATTTTTACACAGATAGGTTAGCGAACGTGTTATTGGAGTCAGAAGTAAACCCCGGGAAGGTAGATGTAGGTCAGATAGCGAAACGTTCATTTAGCTAACGGATCTGTTGGCGAGAGGGAGGAAAGGGAAAAGTGCCAAGATTAAGAACAGAAAGTGTGTCTTAAGGGGCTGACCAAAAACTATCGTGTTTGGGGTGTTACCGATATGGAAAAATTAAGTAAACTAATGACATAGATGAAAATGAAGAATCTACAAGCAGATGTTTCAGTGGCCGCAAAAGACAGTATCAAATTGGCCAGACTGTATCCATTAGCCACCCTTCGGCCGCTAATGGTCACTCCTCTGGCCAATGGATACTACCTTGCCACCGCATGATCTGCTTGGAGATTTTTTTTTTATTCATTCACATAGAAAAAGGTACAGGACATGGTGGTGCCGCACTCAAGTGGAAAGCACTTATGTTGACGGCACCACTGAAATAAATACATATAATAAAGAAAAAAACAACGCAACTTTAAGACAGGCAAAAACAGTAAATCCAGGAAATTCAAGAGCGCAGGTCCGGTTCCCCACCCAATGATAAATGATGGCAAAGAGGACACAGTCCATAGATAACAAAGGGGGAAATTGAAATCTTTTAAAAACGTTCTGATGTGGTGATGAAGTTTTGGGTAAGTGATAATATATTGGAGTTAACAACTGATGAGAATGCGGTACTGCCACGGAGTAAAAGGTCAGTTTTTGGAGATTAGAAAATGAAGTAGATGATTGAGACGATATACTAAATATAAACTTTGAAATACTAAATTTTCTTATCCCCTTTTGATCTACATCGTATTCAGAAATTTTCTTAACCCTCATAGTGTTTTTTATCAAGATAAATCAACCCGAAGCAAAATATTTAAAAAACTATAATTGTAGTACAATATGTAAACGCAAACGCTCATAAGAATAGCAATAACATTGAGACAAATCACGAAAAGGGAAGCCACAATAATTGAAATATAAACCGGCCGTGAAAACAAAATATACCCCTTCTCCGAAGCCTCTGTTTTTACTGACATGTATCCTAAAGTACTGCATTAACGCTGTCAGACAGAGATAGCGCCGAGCTTTCCGTGCCACCAGAAAAGCTATTAAACACGAGCGATAAGACTCGGAGCCGTACTTACATTTGTATCCAAAATTATCCCACTGGATCAGATTCCCCTCTTCGTCGCACATGGCGCCACCCCCTAAACACCCCGTCGTCTCGTAGATGGTTTCGCCCGGCTCGTACCTGACCCCCTGGTAGTAACAACTGGTGGGAGTGACGGGGGTGGGGGTGGAGTTTCCCACTACTGTAGGGGGGACATCAAATTCTTTGTCAGTGGTTGCGCTAATATTAGCAACCATGCTAGAGTTGCCCACCACTGTGTCTTGTACATTTCTATGTTGCTCAATAAAAAGAAAAGCATAGACTAGCCTCTACCAGGCTTCGCGCTACGGCTGGGAAGAGTAGAAGTCGGTCAAATAGAGAGAGATAACATGCCGGGGAGTTGGCCCGCTAGAGAGTACATTTTGCCGCTCCCTAGGCATGTTATCTCTCTTTGACCGATTTCTACTCTTTCCAGCCGTCTCCCGAAGCCTGGTAGAGGCTAAGCATAGACATTTTCAATCTACTTATGTCATGCCCTGCCTCCATATCTATGTATCTAGGCCAATATGTATGTAGCTCTTTAGAAAAGAAAGAATTGTGACAGACAGAAATATATGTTAAATGTACAACATATCAATACAGTGTGCGTCATTTACGTTCATATCTATGTAGTCATAGTTTCTAGGAATATATGGACTAGTATTATTGTAATGATCTATGTGATGATCACATTATCATCCTTGCCATGCATTGTACCCTGTACAACTGTCTAGCAATAAAGATCATTCATTCATTTAAAACGTGGTTTGGGGGTAATTTTCCAGCAGATGTAGAGTCCTCATCATCAGTTATTTATGTAGCACATTTGTGCGGAGACAACCAGAAAGACTTTTTAAACTAGAAAAGTAACATTTGCAAAGAAAATGCATAATGTTAACCTTCTGTTAATTCTTAGAAACACATTCATATATATGGTCAGACAGGAGTCTAAATCCCCCCTGCTATAAAATTGCAACATGATGTAACCCAAACTTGTAACCACAGTGACAGACGTCTGATTCAGGTCATTGACCTTATTTGTTTGGAGAAGAAGAAGAGGAAGAAGAAACTGAGCAAAAACAATATGTTTTCCCTCTGCGAGGGTAAACATAAAAAAATCCCTAGCCTCCACCATGTCATCAGAAGGTGCTCAAAAGATAGTAGAAATTGGTCCAATAGACAGATAACATCACCAGCCAGAGGGTTGATCCGCTAAAGGTGCAACTTTTGCCAAACAGTACTCATTTGGCGTACCTATCTGTACCTGTATCGGTATCTGTATCTGTATCGGTATGGCCGGTATAACCGCCCTTCGGCGTAGCACACCATGCCAGCTACCAACTCTCCTGGCATGTTATCGTTATCAGTCTATTTGGCCAATTTCTAGTCTTTCCAGCCGCTTCCGATCCGAAGAAGCATGATATTAGGTACAAAATGCGTGTAGAGGTCGTCAGAAAAACATGAGAATGATGCACCCGCCACATCTCGCACACGGAGATAAAGAAGGGTTATTAGTCAGTGGTAAATGTACCGATGTTTCCGGCGTATAATCAAGTTGTAAGCCGTGCAAAATACCGCACTGCGTTAGGGACGGACCATGTAGGGTCTAAGAGACCGGAACAGACTGACGAATAAGAATACAAATCAAAATGTATCATGCCCGTAGCCAGGATTTTGCAGGGGGGGGGGGTCCCCACTGTCTGAGGATAGAAATCGGCCTAAAAAGGGGAAATAATTAATCTCCAATCAAATCTTTTGGTGGGGGTAAGGCAGTATGAAACTGGCCAGTCTGTAACCATTTGGGCGGGGAAATGGTTACAGACTGGCCAATTTGATCCTGTCTTACCCCCACCAAAAGATCTGCTTTGAGATTAGAAATAATCGGCCTGCGCAATGGAGATTCTCTGGCCAATTATATCCCCTTTGCCTGATTCTATTCAGCCTGCAAAAGGAGTCTGGTGGAAACTAGGCAGAACGTACTGCACCTGCACGGAACCCTATGTATTATGCATAGCACTTCGGCAGAATGTCTCATATAAGGACATTATATTGGAAAGATATATATAGGTTATATTGGAAAATATATCGTCTGCAACAGGCGAACTTCTGATGCAACGTTGACCTAATATCCAACTAAAACCATGAAAAAGGGTTTTGCGCAGGCGTAGTAAGTTGTGGCGACCTGCTTATGATATAGAAGTTTATTGCAAATTCGTGCCCGGGGGCTAATTGCAAATTACAAACATAAGAGAACAATGAAACAGAGTATAAAATAACTAAAATCTACATGATAAAAGGTAGTTGTCTAAAGCTATAGCTATATCTAAAACTATGTCTGAAGGGTTTGACTTCTCTTTTTTAGACCATGGAAGACGTAATGTCCCAGCTTTTCCAAAATTAGTGGGTTTTGGGAAGTTAAAAGAAGAATAGTTTTTTTTTATATACAGTACATTACGCGTATATATTATATATTACTATGCTTACTATATACAGTACATTACGCGCAGGCGCAGTACAACCTGCTGATGGCGGTGTTTAAGAGCAGCAAAGCACCAAGGGAAACATTTTTGTCCTAACGGTCACTGTCGGGGTCGGCACGTTCAAGTCAGCCTGAACAGCTGGGTCTGCCGGGAGGTTTATAAATATAGACCCCATACAATCAAAATCACACGTGGGAATGTGCCCTTCGTAACATTGTCCTATAGCCTCTACCAGGCTTCGGGAGACGGCTGGAAAGAGTAGAAATCGGTCAAAATTGGTGGTTCCCATGTAAGGCCACACCAAGTAAATTTTATGGATGACGTCCTTTGGAGACCCTAAATCTAATGCGAGAGGGCGAAAAAAAACAAGAAGGGCCCTAAAAAACAAGATGCCTAGATTAGAAATATACCACAAGAGACGACAAATGTTAGGACACAAATTGAATGAGGTGACACAGTGTAACAAGCAAGAAGTCTTTTATTCATCGTCAAAACAGCAATAAATCAGGTGGAACAGCAGTTGTCGTCCTGTCCTGTTTCTTTCATCACATTTTTGCAGGCCTGCAGAAACAAAGCATAAAATTGCGGCACTATCGTCACTCTTTGGTCATAGTTACAGCATGGTTACAGGAAGCGGAATTTCTTGGGTTTTTTTCTAGGAACAGGCCAAAATCAATGCGCGCGCGGACGTCATCCATAAAATTTACTTCGTGTGGCCTAAAAAAAGGCTTGAAGTTGCGGGTTGCAGCTTGTTTTCTGTAATTGACCGCGGGTAACCCCGGATCGAACGCCCGTTCGGTTCGAATGACGTCATATGGAACAAGATTCGCGGGTTCGATCTCCGTAGTACGTAGCAGAGTGGGACTTTTGGGCCCAAATCTGACCATCGTGAAATAGATAACATGCCGAGGGAGTTGGTCTGCTAGACTTTTTGCCGCACCCGGTGTACAGTACTCTCTGGCGGACCAACTCCCTCGGCATGTTATCTCTCTATTTGACCGATTTCTACTCTTTCCAGCCGCCTCCCGAAGCCTGGTAGAGGCTAACGTCGCCCCACCTTCTCGAAATTTACGCCAGTTCTTGACCGCCCAGACATTTACTGCACAGCGAAAACGTTAAAGTTGACAACATCTGTGGTGTTAACGTGAGGATACAGGCGATTCCATATGGGAAACGAGTTAGCCTCCAGCGATGTTAGTTATTTTTTCCCGCCAATTTGCAAGGGAAAATGACGGACATTTGACCTCTGCTGACACTAGGGGCGCTGGCCAGAGGTATTCGTGACGCGAGAGACATCTCCAATATGCTGAGGATGTCTGTCCTTTTCCGAGTCTCGCCCCCACCCCTTAGCCTCTACCAGGCTTCGGGAGGCGGCTGGAAAGTGTAGAAATAGGCCAAATAGAGAGATAACATGCCGAGGGATTTGGTCCGCTAGAGAGTACATTTTGCCGCACCCGAAGACTGTCGGGGGTCGCTACATTCTTTGACTTTGAAGTTCACTAATCACCATCTAATAGGTGCCAAGTAGCTAAATAGGGTGCGACAAAATGTACTCTCCAGCGGACCAACTCCCTCGGCATGTTATCTCTCTCTATTTGGCCGATTTCTACGCTTTCCAGCCGCCTCCCGAAGCCCGGTAGAGGCTACCCACCCGGCCCCTCATGAGGGAGTCAGAAGTCAACGTCCGCACAAGATGTCAGAACGGAGCAATCGTGAACTTTGCCGCCGGCGCGATATGTTCAGTGTTTTGGGGTCGAAACCTTTCCGCGAAATCATTTGAAGGTTGACTGAGGCTGTATCGGTCACGGGCGTTGCTGACAAAGTTAAACGTTTTGGTCCAACAAAAAGCAAGACTTAAAACTTTTCGACTACGAAAACTTTTAAGTCTTGCCTCTCTACCAGGCTTCGGGAGGCGGTTGGAAAGAGTAGAAATCGGCCAAATAGAGAGATAACATGCCAGGGGAGTTGGTCCATTAGATAAGAACAAACAATTTTCTCTAGCGGACCAACTCCCTCGGCATGTTATCTCTCTATTTGGCCGCGATTTCTACTCTTTCCAGCCGCCTCCCGAAGCCTGGCAGAGGCTAGAGAATAGTAAATAATTTTTTGTATCATTCAGCTAGCTGTAGTTACTTAGGACAAAGTTCCTTGATCCTGTCCTGAGTCACAGTAAGAATGTTAATGCGGAATGTTGGAATGTTGTGGCAAACATTTCGCCGACCACCTCAGTCACTGTGTGACTGTTAGGTTAATCATAACTCGTATTAAGTGGCGCCAAAAGTCGCAGATATAAAGACCTGTCACTACACTGTTGACATCTGGGGAAGATGTGTCAGAGCCAAAAGTGTCTGAACAGCAGAAAATAACTGTTGACCTTGGACTTGGTCCAGCTTCAAAGCGATCCCTTATACGAAGCGAGCTGTCAGTGTTACGAATCCAAGCTGTTCATCCCCGACCTCCCAACATGCGATTAGCATCATCTAAACTTCAAGCAGACGTGGGGTGGACAATTGCAAAGTTATCTGGATGGCAGCCGCACAGATCCTTTTTTATATTCCAACATGTAATCACCAGACGTGGTGACGGCACACTCAGGTTTTTTCAACTTATATTAATGCCGCCACCAACACAGGGGACAAATACATGACAGGACAATACTCATTTTCACCTGAGCGAAGTGAGG